CATCGGGCTACTGTCCGAGCCAGTCAGTTGTCTGATGCCAGGTGGACGCAGGGGGCTGACAGGGCCGGTGGGCATATCTGCGCGCGCTACGGCACGACTTAGCCCCCTTGACGCATACCCTGAGATTATCAAAAACCAGGGGACAAAAATGAGCCGTTGCCATCTGACTCTCAATCTACCTGTCAGTCGATCAACGCATAACCCACACTGGGCTGATGGCGTGGTCTGATAAAAAGCGTCAGTTGGCAGCCTCACAAGCCACGTTTTTAGTTAACCATGCTAGCCTCAGACTCCGAACATGCATGCAGCGGAGGAGCCACATGAAAAAGGAGCCGAGGGACATACTGCCCTCTCACGTGAGAAATGCGGATTGCAGGCACGTGGTGTGTGAATCCCACTTATCTTATACATACCAACGTGTAGTTTGATTTCAAAGGTGTACCCCAGTTGAGTAAGGTAGTGGCTTCCCGCCGAAAGTTTGCCGGACAAAAGAAAATCTGTTTTTAGTATTCCGGCATAGACAGGCAAACCGCAGGATAGCTATTTTGGGCTATTGACCCTCATCAGCTACGGGCAGCCAACTCTAGTATAGCCGCTGAAATTGCCGCCACACCCGAGTTTCGATATTTTGTTTTTGAACGGTTCAAGCGCAGAGGTTTGGTGAGTGTTATCGCATGCCAGCACTATGATCCACCTTAATTGCCATAAATTAAGCTCATTTTTCAGTTTATCCATCCACCTTTACTACTACGCATGTTAGCTAGATAGAGTCAACCGATGGGTAGGTCACACCGTGCACTAGCCATTTATTTTACTGAATCCAACGCAAAAAGGCGCCGAAGGTCAACGAAACCAGTAGGAAGCAGGAAAGGTCTATGAAGGCAACACTGCCAAATCTAATTCCTTTTAATCGACGGCATTTCGCAGCTGTAGCACAGCCATATGAGGTTCTGAGAGAAGAAAGGATCAAAATGAGGCAACAGAAAAATCAATATTTCTGCGCCAGGACTTGCAGTCGCAAAGTCAATAAAAAAAATAAACTTTGACACAAAGGGTGGCCTCTCCGATCTAACTGGTGGCCTCGCGTGCCTGGTAGATGTGAGCTTTGGCAGGTCCAAGGGCAATCTGGCGAGCGTTGGCACCAAATAAAAGTGTTGAGAGTGTTTCGTGCAAGGACTTCGGTTCGGAGCTGACGTTCACAATGAGGCATGCCTGAAAAGTTGGACCAAAATAATTTTTAATTATGGCCACAGAACAAGCAAAGCGGAGCATTTTTAGTATCCGTTTCCCTGGGCACATAAGCAAAAAGTGAAATCGGGGACAAAACAGAATCCGAGATACGACCATATCTGGGTGGTTTTATTGAATTCACAAATAAAGGGATACCGCTTAATGCGAAAGGACGTTCTATAGGAAGAAAATTCAAATAAGACTGACAATTATAGTACGTATGCGATTGCGGATAAATTGAACCTCACGCTAGCACCTTATTTGTATGTTCGTATCTCGGTAAGATACTGGCGTTAAAGGTGGGTTCGAGTATAAGTTGGCGATGTCCAATAACAAAAGTTATTCCGAAGCCCTTTATAATTAAATTAGAAGTCCCAAGACTTGTTACTCAATATGATTTCTTAATGAATACTCAGCTATCCTTACCATAAAGAGCTTGACTTGAGAGACTTTTCCTTTCCGAAAAGTACGACCGACATCCCAATTCTGCTACGACAAAAAATGGACTAGTTTCAAATTTTACGTTAACAAACTTATTTAGAAACGCTATGTCTACTTGCCACTAATAACCTAGTTACAATATACAATAGATCTGAAGATCTACTTAGGTGAAAAGAACTCTCCGTCCATGGAGGTTTTAGTAAAAAAGGTATGAACTTGTTGTCTACACGATTACCAAATCTGCTGGATGTAACAACACTGTTAAAACGCAATTCCGTAATATACTTGTGCATATAAACCCCACGAAAGTGCTTCCTTAGTTGTGAACATTTTTTCGGGAGACACAAGGTTAGTTATTGTTCAACGCCTTACAGGGAATGAATAAATGCTGTCTAAAAGTAAGGGACCCTAATTATGGGGCTGCGTCAGAAAACACGTAAATTTCTACTAACTCCGTAGTGTGTATTTTGCGATTAGAATCTCAACACGGTAATGGAGCCATGTCCAACCGAAGGAGAGATCCGGTACTGATTTAGTATTT